CCACCTTACCTAATTTACTAACACACTCATTTATTTGATCTCAAAGGAAGTAGTGATCTTCATCTTTTCCAAGTAGAAAACAAATACTGCAGAACAAAGAGAAAAATTTTCCATTATGTTTAGTGTGAAAAGCTCCAGGACGCATTTGAAGAAATGTTGTGAACCATATATTATAATTGTGGGAGGAATTATAGTAAACACCTATATTTGGCTCTTCAAAGTCTAAAGAAAAACTAAGAGATTGTCTAAGCAGAATTATGAGCTTGACTAAGATATAATTATTATATGAAGCAGATCCCATCCTGTAGAAAATAACCCTTCAGAAAGTTGTTCCAGTTGTTATTATTTTCACTGCTAAAATAAAGCTTTAATTCTGACTAGTTTTGGCTTCAAGATTTGCCATACATCAATATACCTGGATAGCTGTGACTGTACTGTATATTTTGTGCTGAAAATGTTGTTTTATAAAGCAAGTGTCTTAAAGACTATATTTATGTAAAACTCACAAACTCCCAATGAATAAAGTGAATATATTGATCTTTGAAATCTCTTATTAACCAGCATTTTTCCAAATCTTTACTAATTTTCCCAATTTTTTTTTTAACTATGTGCAATTTATCTTAGACTGAGGACACTGTAGCTGAATACAATATTCTGAAAGCATTTACCCTGAAAGACAGACTAGACAGAATATGTGTAACTTCACATCTTGTATTTGATAACCTCATGTTTATAATTCAATAAACTCACTATCCCTTTCAGGCACAGTGTTCCAGAGGGAGCTTCTTCAGTGGTTTCCTACCACGATCTTCAGGTTTGTTCAAACCTCACATTGTGCCTTCTGCTTCCTGAATTTTAAAAGCATGGAGTAAGTTACACGAGAAAGATGAGGAGCAGAAAAGATCTTGACACTGTGTAAGCAATGTTCAATAGTAACTAAAACATTCCTGTGTTATCAACAGTTTTCAGCACAAATCCCAAACACGGCCCCATACCAGTTACTGTAAAGAACTTTAACTCTGTTCCCGACAAAGCCAGTAGAGTCTAAGCCAAAAATTGTCTTCAAATAATTTATAAGTGTTCATCAATATTATGATGCATGTGATTGTACAAAGCTCTAGAAAGAAGGAAGTGGTGATGGCTGCACTTGATCTCCTCTAAGTTCTTAAGCGGGGAGAGCAACTTTTTACACAGAGAGATCATGACAGGAAAAGGGGCAATGCTTTTAAACTTTTAAAACAGGAAAGATTTAGATTAGAAGACAGGAAGGAGCTCTTTACTCAGAGGGTGGTGGGGCACCGGTACAAGTTGCCCAGTGAAATTCTGGATGCCCCATCCCTGGAAGTGTTCAATGCCAGGTTGGATGGGGCCTTGAGCAGCCAGGTCTAGTGAATGACATCCATGCCCATGACATGGGAGCTGGAATGAGATGTCCTTCAGATCCCTTCAACCCAAGATATTCTGTGATTCTATGATGATTGTTTTAAGAATACTGCAAATTCTTCTTTTATTCCTAAATGATATTACTCATTTTTTGCATTATTGCAAGAAATAATGGTAATTTAACCTCCTAAACTTGTCTTACACTCATATTTTAGACTGTAGATAGAATTTTGAATTTTAGCAAATCATGTATTTCAGGGTTTCTTTTCTGAGTGAGCATTTGTGTTTCATACTCTGTGGATTCCTCCACATGCCAGCACACAAAGGACTACAGGGTCAGCCCCTAGCTAGGCTAGCAGGACCAGAGGAGCCTCTTGTTTTTCAGAAATGTGAGGCAAAATAAAAGTAGTTTGTACTCTCTGGGGCTATTTATCTGCAAGTCACCTATAAGTTTTGAGATGCATAGGTCAAAATATAGTACTTTATATAAAACTTATAAAACTTTAACTAGTAAAACACAAACTGTGTGTAGTTGCAATTTATGTTGTCGATTATCAGCCTTTAAATATTGGTCTCACCTTAGCTAACAATATTCACCTTTACACTGGGCAGAGAAATCATCCTTAATAGAAAGTTCCTTCATTAATATTCTATTACTTGACCACAGAAGAATATAATTATTAAATGTACACCGATTATTTATATAGGATGAGGGCTGCAAAGTATTTTCTGCCAATATCCACAAAAATACTTGTCTCTCAGCTCTGCAGTCCCTAGAAGACCTTGCAGAAATTCTCTTAAAGATAGTTGGCATTTTTCTGCTGCTATCTACATAAAGTTATTTCCAGTTTTTAAGGCTGAACTTATCTAACTTTCTGTTTAACAATTTCCTTCTAGTTCTGAGAGTTGGTGTATATCTCAATTAGTTTGGTCACTCATAATATAAATAATATTAGGAAAAAATTAGGTTATCAACAAAAACCCTAAGAAAATATGGGGAAACTTCTGCATTTTTCAGAACATTGTGAGAAACATGAATTTCAGCAGGTTCTCAAGCTCTGCTGGAGTGTCATGGACTAATGAAAGTTACCATACACCACCCACTGAACTGAGTTAAATAGACAGTCTGATTAATTAAAGTGTCAGTTCAGCCAATGGTTTCAATTTCCCTTTTTCACAAAATAAAAGCTCCAACAAAAAATATGGAAAAAACATATTAGGTTATTTAGGTAATTTCCTGTCCTTGCAGAATAGTCCCACAAATGACATTTTTATTCCAATTTGTTCAATGCAGTTTAAAGCCTTGGAAAGGTGTAAACCACAGCTGATGGCCACAGAAGAATTTACTGTCTGTTAATCCCTGATCTCAATCCTGACACACAAGTAATGACCTTTATATTCAAAACAGTATTGTATATTGTCTACTTAAATAATGTCCTTGCACCTCTCTATTGAGTGAATATTCCTATACAGCAAATACCTAAAGGCTATGCTAGAAACTTCTTGCTCATTGTCCTTTGCTGCCTGAAAAGACCTGCAATGTTTTGAGTCCTGTCAAAACACCCCAAGAATAACCCAGATGCAAAAACCTTGTGTAATATCTGTACAGTGTGACATGGGCTGCAGTGGTGGGAAAGAGATAAAGTCTCTTTTCTTGCCAGAGGCCAGTGTTCCTTCTTTGTTCTGTCTCTGTAGTCTGGTGCAATTCAGCTGTGTGAACATAAAATAAAATATAACATATAACACAATCAGAAATACGTCAAATTAAAGTATCAAAGGTTTGGCCTCTGGAAAGTTTGGTTTTTCCTTAATTTTCATGTGGCATTTTTTTCAGGTGTTTGTAGCCCCATTACATGTCCTGCCTTTCCATGTACAAGCATGCTTTTATTCTGTAAAAGCGATCTGGTTACTAAAATTTTAACAGCATTTTTTTAACAGATTTATGAATTTTGTTGTTACAGTTCTCTGGGATTGAAAACTTTCACTGTTTTCCATATTTCCCCCAAAGAACAGCAGAAGATTCCATTTTTTGAACAAAACAATAGGGAAGATAAACACAGTTCTGAACACCATCAAAGGCTTAGTGGCTCTGAATGCAAATAAACAGTATTGAAAAAAGTCTCTCCTCTCATAGGCAGGCTCTATAGAAATAATAGTGGGAAAAATGCATTTAAATGAAAATAGTAGCCTGTACTCATCTACCTCTGCTATTTCACTAACAGGGTGATAACTAAAATATATATCCAGGCCTTTACAACTTATTTTTTACATTTCTGCACTCACTTTCTGCTCCCTCTGTACTGTACATATAGTATATGTAAATACCCATAGTTTCGAATGCATAGTCTAAGTAAGACATCTCTGTTTATCATGAGATCTTTGTCTTTATACCATATGTTAACTCTGCAGCCATGAAAATGCAAAGAAAAAGCTGTTTTTTCATGCAAAGTTAAAACTTTTGTTTGCCTTCCTCCAAGAAGGCAGCAGATCCCTGTGGCTGAAGAAACCACCTGTATGTACATCAGTAGGTCGGCTGCCTTTGGTGTCAAAGAGCTAGAGATACAGCAGTGAATTCTGAGTGCCTTCTGAAGTCACCTTCGTATTAAACGAGCTAGGCATAAAATGTGTGATTCCCTTGTGGTTGTCTAAGGTTCTTTGCAGTCTAATTACAATATCCAATACAATTTGAATACAGGGTTTTGACAAAACAGTGAACAATTGCAGATTAACCCACATGGATGGTATTTGTAGTGGTGAAACAGACAGGTTTAAAACCAAGCCTGATTTTAAAGCAACCTCTGTTCCCTCAAGACACAAATTGTCCTGAATGTGTTTGATTTTTGTTTGGTTGGGGTTTTGTGGTTTTTTGGTTGTTTTTGTTTGTTTGTTTTAAATAACTGTTCCGGGTGTGTCAGGCAGAATATCTGCCAATGAATTTAAAAGAATACAACCGCTAAATGTAAGCGAAGCGTACTAAATCTAAAACTGGATGATGCAACAACACTACAATACTCTAAGGCAAGGGCCTGGAAAACGGGCGAGACAAGCCAAACCTCATTTCTGTTGCCCTGCTAAGCTGCTGGAGCCTGGCGCTGCGGGAAGCGCTGTGAGCACTCAGACACTGTAACAGCGGCTGTAACACGAAGGGTTTGGGAGCGAGCGCTGCCCAGGGCCGGCGCCCGGAGGTCGCCAGGAGCCGCCGCCTCGCCCCTCTCAGAGCGGCCCGGCTGGCGCCTGCGCGGGGCCGCCCCTCGGGCCCCTCCGCCCCGCCCTGCGGCCGAGGCTCCCCGAGCGGAGCGGGGTTGGGGCCGGGCCCTGGGCCGGGCCGGGGCGGGGCGGCGCTGCCGCTGCCGGCGGGAGCTCGGCGGGGCGGTGCCTGGCGCGGACCGCCCGGCCCCACCGGCGGAGCAGCCGCGGGAGCGCGGCCCGGGCGACTCGGCCGCGGGCGGTTCTGGCGGCCCGAGCGCCGCGCCCTTCCCCGGCTCCATGTCGGCGTGGCTCGGCCGGGCGGCGCTGCTGTTGGGGCGGCCGGGGGGCCCCGCCGCCGTCCCCTCGTCCTGCTTGGGCTCGCTGCGGGGCCCGCGGTGCTGCTGCCGCCGCCGCCTGGGCAGCCTGCGGGGCGGCGCCCAGGGGCTGCTCCTCCCGCGGGGGTCGCGGGCGCTCGGCACCCACCCCAAGAAGGAGCCGATGGAGGCGCTGAACACAGCGCAGGGCGCCCGTGACTTCATCTACAGCTTGCACTCCACCGAGCGGAGCTGCCTGCTGCGGGAGCTCCACCGCTTCGAGTCCATCGCCATCGCCCAAGGTGAGCTGCGACCCACCCCGAGCCCGCTGAGGGCGGGAGGGCCGGGCCGGAGCGGGGCTGAGCCTCCAAAGTTTGGGGGTCCTCCCGCCCTCGCCCAAGCGACTCCTTCGGGCGAGTAGGAAACTCCAGCAAGAGGAGGCATCGAGAGGCGCTCGCCCCTGTCTGTTCGCGTAATTGGGTATAAATGAGGCACACGACCTGAAATTTAGTTTCCAGAAGCATCCGCAGCACCTTTGGAACTTAAATCGGCCCAGTGTGCCAAATCCTCGGTGGGTCTTTCATCTCACCGGGTGTTTCAGAGAGCCACGGGTGGCCATTTTTCGGAATGGGAGTAGGAAAGTGTCTCATCAAATCCTCCTGACACCAGGGCAGCAGTAAATTGATTTCAGAGCTCTTAAGAGACGCCGGGCTGCTGCTGCTCTGGGAGCTCATTCATGAGTTACACTTTCCTGCACGGTGGGCTGCCGGCGCTGCTTCTTGGAAGTATCGGTTCTCATTCGGGAAGGTGTGTATGTGCTGGGGAGGTTTACAGATGTACCTCTGAATGTAGGGCTATGCAACGCCAATTAAAGTAATTCACAGTGATTTTTCGCGTCCAATCCTACTGTTCTTGCCAACTTGACACTGTTTTCCTCAAACAAATCAAAACCTGACAAAAGTAAATCCTCTTAATTACAGCCTTCTTACCTCTAGTTCTGATCCTCAGCTGTAATTTACAATCCCTATTGCAGTGAAGATGATAGCGGGTACTTAAGAGATCAGTGTGCATTTGATCTAGGCCTCTTTGTGACTTTGATAGTAGCGTGCCCTTGGAGAGGGCATTTCTGTGCCTTGTGGCTCCTCTGTAGATGTCTGGAAAAAAATTTGGGTGGGCAGATAACGGGTCTGGGGGTCAGCTGTAAAAGTGTTGCTTTTGAGAAGAGACAGAGCCCTTTCAGGTATCTCTTTGGTTTTGTTTGTAGCACACTTCCATATAAACACTACTGTTTCTAGTCAGAGTGAGAGTAGTTCACTTAAATGCCTCATTTTGGGAGCAGCAGCACTTCTGTTTTGCAGACAGTGAATCAGGTTTATTTGTTTTACAGCACAGAGGGTAGAATGCTTTGAACTGTAAGTTGACACTAACTTTTGAATACTAACAACTAATACTCTTCCCAAATAAATCCTTCTTAGCTTCTGAAGGGTACTTGCCATGAGGTTTTTGCATGAGTTTCTGTCTCATCGGCTATTGCTCAGGTTAAACAGAATGGAGCTGTCTATGTGCAGGATCGTGTGGTGGATATCAAAAGGAGACTTTAAAATGTCAGTATAGTGTCTCAACGTTTATACAGATATAAATCAACAGATGGCCATATTTAATATCTTGTTGCTCAGATGCTGTTAGTTATAATATGAAGGTCTGTTGTGTAAAATCCTGTGACTTTCTGATGATTCAGGGTTTAGAAGCAAAGTAATAAGAGCATTAGTTTGAATTTAGACATTTTACTGCATGCAAGATTATTAGTTGGTTTTAAGTTTATTCCACTAGTGGAAATTACAGTTCACTTGTGCCTGAAACTGTAGTCATTAATTTTGCAGGAGAGATTGTTTCAGCAAAATCTCAGTTGTGGGCTTAGTAGTCTCATAGGTAAGGGCTGCATAAAGTGTTGTAGTGCCATCGGACCTCAACCTTGAAGTCAGATTCTTGATCTGCCAATCTATCTTGATAAGACTTCTTTTGTAGATAGCCTTTTCCTTTAGCCACCTCTGTTCATGGGATATTTTGACAGACTGCAGCATGATTAACTGCTGTCAGCTTTTACCTATAAGAAATTCTGTTTCTTCATATATTATGAAAAAGAAAAATCATAACTGAAAAGGGCTTCTAGTAAGTCTGTTAAATAGAAATTGGAGGGAAAAACCTATCTTGAATTTATTGCCCATAGCTATTTTCTGTAGAGTATTGATATTGAAAGAATTCAGATTTTGTGTGAGGAAGAGCAGAGAGGTGTAGGATATGGATCATCACTCCGAATGCTGTAGAGTGCCAGAAGAAGACAAGGTGGATAGAAAGGCTACCCTTGAAAGAAAATTAGAGACTTTTCTGAGCTAGATGTTTGTATTCTGTATTTAAAATGCTTTATTATGTTTAGAAAATATTTTGTATGATTGCTCCTTTCCTGCTGTTGAAATTATGACTGTGTAGCAATGACCTGACCTGAATAGGTACGCAGGTTGTGAGTAGCAGATCACGGAAGACCTATGTGTGCCTTGCTTTCTAGGTACTTTCTCTGATTGACTAGTGTCACTTTTGATCTTTACAAATCTTGAATTCAGTCAAGACAAAACTGTTTTAGAGATGTTGGGTTTTTTATCAATTTTCTCATTTGTTGGCGTCATGCTGTAGCTCCCAGCAGCTGATTCTTTAGCTGAGGTCACCGATTGTACTTTCGTGTTGATTTCCAATGAAAGTGATCCAAATGCAGACTTCAAATTCTCTTCTTTACTGCTTGTGTAAATTCCCGTGTTCTGTTTGAGCCTGAAAAATCAGTCTCTCCTTAATCATAAAATGCCTGTGCAGTTTTGCTACTATGCTTAAGCTTGTTTTATGCCTGTGATAGTTCTTTATTGAAAGGGAGGTATTAGTCCTTACCCTTCTTAACACAGTCCTTATTGGGTTAAGTTTTGACCTTCTTCCTTCACTACCTCTTCTGTGCCCTAACAGACCCCATATCAGCTAGGGGAGGCTGTCAGCAATATGGGGAGACCTGGGCACATCAAGAACCAAATGGGGCAAGTTCCTCAGCCCATTCCCAGGCCTACCACCAGAAGGATGCAGTTCCACCAGCTAATTGCCCTAGCACGAAATATGACAGGACACACTATCTGTGGCCTCCGCTAATGGCAGAGGCTGTGGGGAAACCCATCCTTTGCTGCAGCTGCTACGCTAAAGGACGGTCCTCAGGTAGGTGAGTTGTAGCTGTTACCTGTAAGTTAGGTGAGTCTCTGAAGCCTTTTTGAAACTTAAAACATCTGTTTGTGCTGTAGTCATGAAAACTGTAGGTGGGGAGAGGTTTGTGGATATGTTCCTGCCTGCCATCACCTTGTCACTTGTATTACCTGGAGCTTCCAGATACTGAGCACTAGAGATTGGTTAAGCAGTCTAGCTTATGAATAAACACTGACTAAAATTCTGCTGTTTTAGTGCTTTAGTAGACAGAGCTCTATCTGTGAGCATGTGATGGCTGAGAGCTGAAAGCCCGAGTTTAAATTCATAGATGCATTTTGCATAGTAGAAACTGGGGGAAGACTGTGAAACTGTATCTTGATAGACTAGTTCCCAGAAAATATTTTGAAAACTATCCTGATTTAGACTGTATCTATATCTTACTATCTTAAAATTTAGTCAAAACATCACTGAGCTGTTGTTTCTGAAGCAACTGCAAATCCTTTCTTGTCTGGATTTAGTTTTCCTTCTGCATTGAAGGCTTTAAGTCTTTTTTTTTTTTTTTTTTTTTCTTCCCCCTTTTGAACCTTGGAAAGATGAATAAGGTGTCCCACTTTCCCAGGAGGAGCTTTGAAACAAAGTTTTTAAATTTTATCTTGTGTTTCTTATAAGCATGTCAGTCACACCCAGCTGCACTACATGGAGATGATAAATGTGGATTTGAATACAAGTAATTTTTATATTTGTATTTCCATAGTTACAGGAACACTGAAGTAGCAAGTAAGTCGGTTGATTTAAAATGTAACAGTCCTGCTTTCTGTTTCTAGAACTGGTGCCCCGTAATCAAGACTTAGTTTTGTTTGCTTCAGATAGTCAAATTTCTGTTGTTTCTTTCTTGCATGATGGAGATGACTTTCAGAAAATATGGAAAATGATTTAATGCTTCTGACCTTCTCTAGCAATAATCCATTGACAAAAGTGTCATTAGAAAGAAGATGTAACTTCTTTCTTATGGAGATTATATTCAGGGTTTCTACCCTTAGTTTCCAATGTGATATACTATATGTGATGATTCATGAAAGATGCTGTTGTAAGCAGTGCAGCAAGCCTGGTAACGAAGAGGGAAAATACTAAAGAGTGTGACTTTTTAAAGTAATAAATACTAAGCTTGACATTTTTGCAGTGTCTTTATTGCTTCCTAGGGTAATGTCGGTCTTTTATGTGCTGCTTTGCAACATTCTTGAACCCAGATTTAACTACTTTTCATTAATATTACTAACACAGTGATTATCTAGGGCCTCTATGAAATCAGATCTTGAGAGTGAGAGAATCCTTTATTTTCCCATCTTTTGTTGCAAAGATGGGAAAACAATTCCTGTTTTCCTATCTGTGTGTACATACACATAAAATATGTATGCGTGTATATAATACATAAAATAGATGCTTCTGGTATATAATGTATGTACATTGATCACAATTCCTTGAAAGCACCCAGTTTCATTTTATATTTTTAGTGGAAGACTTTTGTGATATGATCACTAAATAAAAGGTCTTTTGAAGTGAAATTTCTTCTTCCTCTGCCTGTTGAGGTTGTGTATTGAGGTTGTGTACCTGGAAAATATGCAAAAACACCATAGCAATGAGTCTTGACAGCTGGTTTTGTCATTTAATTTGCAGGCTTTGGAGAATGCAGTTTCTAGTTAGTTTCTCTTTGAAAGCACTGGGATATCATACCATACACAATAATCTGAGATACATAAATAATCTGAACAAAACAGCGCATTCTGATAGAAAACTGTTCCTAAGTTCAAGCTACTGCATTTTTTTCTAGTTAAAAAAAAAAACCAAAAACATAGCATGCAGGTAAAGGGCTCCACTTCCTTGCATTCAGTTGGGCTGACAGCTGGTGCAGAATCTCTGAGGGAATTTGCAGGGTTTTAGCTATTATTGGGTGAAATCTTACTTTGGTATCAGAAGAAATCTCACTGGCTTATGCTCTGGTGTAAAGTTTATGAGCTCCCCATTTTACTGGAATAGCTTAGGGAGTGTTTGAGCCGGTGCGCCTCTACTTCTACAGCTTTACAAAGAAACATTAATTGAAAAGATGCAATGTCATCAAAGACAAGTGGATTTCACTGAAGTTTTTAGACATTTTAAGCAAGTGTCCTGTGAAAAAGGTTCTCTGTGTTGCCTGAATCAGATGCTTCTTGCTAATATGAATGAACTGGTTCATCTGCCGTGGTGTTTTAGAACCACTTGGATTTTAGTGCATCTTTCTGTTAGAACTGAATTGGTGTTAACACAACAAAGCATAATTCCACTCTTCTGGAAGTACTTGTTTGAAGAGCGATTTCACAGTGCAAGTGTGAGGCTTGTGGTGAGGACTGCCCTCAGCCTGCTGAGCTGGGATAAGAGGAACTGTTCATGCTGTTGTGCTTTGACAGGTACCATGGCACCTGGTGGGGACAGTTCTCTCTTCTTTTCTTCACAGACCCAGCATATGCAGGGGAATGCCATGCTGTGTGTGGAGCAATGTCATCTACTCTCCCCCTTGCTGTGACCTAGGTCAATAAATTTTTTAACTCTAGTGTTTGATTGCTATTCTAGGAAAAGGTCTTCTGGCAGATTGCTGGCAAGTGTCTAACTCACAAGTTTGAAGTGCCCTGTCAAGCTGGTAAAATGACAAACTCTTGCCAGCCTGAGTTCCTTTATGCTCTTGGACCATTGCAGCCTACACCAGAACTGTTACTAATCTCACTGCTGAGTCAAAAATACTAGGTGTTGAAAGAAATATTGTGTTTCAGATGTCAGGATGTGCTACATTTTGCTTTTGAAACTTTTTTTTTAATATACCACCCAACATCATGCCCGGAGTCTTGGAGTCCTCTCGTGAGGGCAGAGTGCAGAAGGAAGAGTGCTTCTGGGGCTCTACTGATCCTTAACATCTGAACCTCACGAATCACAGAATCATAGAATATCCAGAGTTTAAAGGGACCCACAAGGCTTGTCAAGTCCAGGTCCTGGCCTTGCACAGGACACCCCCAAAAATCACACCATGTGCCTGAGAGCATTGTCCAAATGCTTCTTGAGCTCTGTGAGGCTTGGTGCTATGACTACTTCCATGGGGAGCCTCTTCCAGGATCCAGCCACCTCTGGATGTGGAACCTCCTTGTGATCTCCAACTTCAGTGTCCCCTGACACAACCTCAGGCTTTTCTCTTGAGTGTGCCCCAGACAAGAGATCAGTGTCTGCCCCTCTGCTTCTCCATATTGATTGAATTTGTGCTGTTCAGCCTGGAGTAGAGAATGGTCTGGGGACACCTTGTAGCACATTCCAGCACATAAGTGGGGTTTACAAGTGTCCTGGAGAGGACTTTTCACAAAAGACATACAGTGATAGGGCAAGAGGGAATAGCTTTAAAGTGTATGAGGACAGGTTTAAATTAGCTATTAGGAAGAATTTCTTTACTGTGGGGGTGGTGAGACACTGGCATAAGTTGTCCAGAGGAGCTGTGGGTGCCCCTTTCCTACAAGTCCAGGTTGGATGGGGCTTGAAGCAACCGGGTCTAGTGGAAGGTGTCTCATGGGGTTGGAACTAGATGATCATTAAATCCCTTCAAACCTGGACTATTAGCTAATTTAGGGGCTGAGGTTTTATGTCATAAACAAGAAAATTGGTGCATGGTCACTCATGGTGAAACTATTCTGAAACTGCTTTCTGAAAATGTCAGCTGTTACTGTCTACCTTTGAACCACCTGCAGCAAGGTAATGTTTTCTGAAGTTCGTGCTTTTGCTGTTGTGGTTTGGTTTGCTTCCATATTCTGAATTTTTACTTGCTCACATAACTTAAAGCAGGTTCTTGTCTACTTAAATGCAGAAACTTTGTCTTATTTTTTTACAGAGAAAACCCTGCAAACAATCAAGTGGAATTGGTGTAAAACCCCTAGAATTCCAGTCTTAATATTTATAAAGGATCTTTTGCTGGCAGATTCTCCAGTATTGATTGGAAGATTTTAAGTAATGACTGATTGATGTTTTGCTTTTGAAAACTTGTTGTAGCATTCAGGTATCCTAAACCACTGGTACCACTTGAGAAGCCAGCAGAGGAGGTAGAGTCACCAGAGTCGACCAGTGCATTTGGTACAGTACAAAAAAAACCCAAATGGAAAACTGTGTTTGCTGATGTGTGCATTGCATAAGGCCAGCAGGCTGCTGGTTTGACAGACTTCCTGCATGCTTGTTTTGATGCATTTGGCATGTGTTGCTGCAAGAAATAAAAGTACACAGTTTTTGTTTGTACTCATATAAAGCCTTCAGTCTCAATTTCAGCAATCCACATCTTCAGGTGGATTACGCTTAATTTGACCAAGATGTTTCAAGCATAGGTCTTTTGGAAACCGCTGCACTATACTATAGATTCTAGTTAATACTTGAGCAGAGATTTCAGGCAATGTAACAACTTCATTTTTTTGAAGCAGCTCGGTGTCGGCTACTTTATGCTTTTTTCTTGGAAAGTTATGTGCATTAAATTACATGGTCCAAATATAATGCAAAAATAATACTATTATGAAAAAGTATTATTTAGTTAGCTGCCTTTGTCCTTTCCTGCCAAAGGTAAAATGAGATTGCTTCAATTAAAATATAAGATTGCTCAAATTAAAATTTATTGTCTTTTGCATGTGTTTAAGCATGTGATGACTACAAAATAGGTGTCATGCACAAATATATTTTAAATCACGAATCAGAAAAAATATCTGAATCTTAAGCCATTGTTCTTCAGCTGTGTCTTTTGTAAGACAGTATATTTTAGAGCTAAAAGGAAAATCTGTGTCCCAATAACTCTCTTGTCCAGTACAAAAGCTGCTTTTGATTCAGGGCTTTTTACAGATCATTTGAAATGTAGCTTTTACTTAGAGTGCAACTTAAACCCTTGAGAGTGATAGATTCAAAACATTTAGATCTCCCAACAACAGACATGAATGAAATAGATCATGTTTATTCTGTGAACACAGAGGTTCCAGTGTGTAACCTCAATTAAAAGAAGAGGAAGTCTTCCAGTTTCTCTAAGAAAGAAATTATTTAAAGCTGACTCATTCAATTGAAAACTCTTAGCTTTAGTCAGCCTTATTTATTATTTAATCAATCCAGATATGAAACTACAGAGACATCTGTTGTCTCCAGAAAAAAATCATTTTTAAAAACAGCAAGTAAATGGAAAAGTAAGAAAGTAAGTATGTTATGCAAGCAGAGTACTTAAAGAAACTGTCATGGATTCCTGTGCAGTAGTTTAGATTTTTTTACAAAAATGGCTCATTTTGGGGAAAGCTGGACATTAATATATCAGCTGCCTTGTGCCCTCCTTCTACTTTATTCTTAAATTAGCATGGTGATATTTCAGATATTCTGGAAGCATGCCTTTTTGTTTCTCTTTTGTTGCTGTGTGTGAGAACTTCCTTTAACAGTGAATGAACATGGAATTTTTTGAGATATGACTAACTCATGCCTGAAACACATGCTTCCTCTGAAATGTTGGGAGCATTTTAAGGCAAAGCCCACAAAATACTTTTTTCAACCCAGAAAAGAGCATGTTTCTTTCAAAACTATTGAATATAAAGTGGTAGCTTTTTTTTTTCCAGCGTTAATTTACTTAGGGTTCTTAGATATTTATATGTTAATTATTAATAAAATACCTTCCCCAGCAGCCATAATACATAGTCATACTTGATACTAGCTATTTTCTTTTTCTGTGTCAGTTGCCAGTTGCCACTTTCCGTTTGTATGTGATGGGCTCATCATGTTCATTCATTTTTGGGCATCTTTTTGAGTTTTTATTTAATTTTATTTAGACTGAGATACTTTTGGCAAATACCAACAGGTCATTAAAAAAAAAAATCACATTGTTTTCTCTAGATAATTAAAAGGACAGATTAGAACATATTTAAAACTCTGTATTTTGAGATAGATCATATTCTGTATCAACTCTCCTATCAGCTTAAAGCAATCATAAGAAGCAGGTGGTTTGTTTTATTATCTCCTACTGCTTGTGTGTAGGGATAAATGCTTTCCTGAGTTCCCCTGAATACTTCATGGCTTTTAGGCATTTCCAGAATTAAAACATGCCTTACCATTTGGCAGTGATCCTGGTGAAAGAGTCCTGCATGACCTGGGGGAAGGACACAGCTTTGAAAAATCTTTCTGATTTCAGGAAAAATGGAAAAGTTTGAGACAAGAAGGTTTCTACAGTGAGACCAACTTCAGCTGAGAGGAGCCAGAGACAATATCCACAGTGGCCTGGCCTTAAGTTTCCAAAGCTCACTTCTTGGAGATAGTCTGGGACCTGTTGTCTGAGCATGAGCTTTCAAAACATTCTGGGAAGCCTTTGGGGGAGGGTTAAGGGATAGTCCCTGGTATGTGACTCTTGTCCATGCCATGGACAGAGGTCTGTGCTTTGGGTTGTGTTGTTGTATGTAAAGTTGTATTGCCATAAAGCTCATGTCCAAATGCTTACTGGGAGCCAACAAGTAATTGCTGCACTTTGACCTGCTCAGTTTTTTTTTTAGGCATTATCACTTTCTGGTTAGTGTACTGTTACAGTAACTTTTAAAATTATTTGCACTTGATAGTGTTTGACTTTGTGCAGTGATCTATCCCATAGTGCTGGCTGATTTACTGTAACTTGTCTTACGCTAAGGGTATGAATCATCAGTCTCCATGAGGCTATTATCCCATCTTTCATAACAATCTGAATTGGTAGAAACTGTGTTTTATTTGCTTTATTTTATTTTGTGGAAGACTGGAGAAAAATGTGAATGGAACAAACCAATTTCTTTAGCCAGCTGCCCTTTCAAATACCATCAGCTTGTATTTTCAGATTACAGATAACCTGTTGATCCAGTTGTTTCTTTGCTTTAGTTCTGGCAACAGACTGATTTTCACAAAGTGCAAGTAAAGCTGTGATATTACAAATGTAAAATTAACTGTTTTGCTCAAGATTGAGATTTAAGTATTTCCAGCTAGATTACAGCCGTCTTGTCTAATAAAGCTTTTTGCCATAAAGAGGAGATGGGAAAACAGCTTGAAATCCACTACTCCTTCCCCAATTTCATTATCTATTTATATTATTTTATGGAGTAAAGTAAATAGGTAGCTGCAAAAGTGACACTGCTGTTATAAATAATCAGCCTGGTGACCTTTTCCTCTTGCAAATATCCGACAGACTTCTTCTGATTGAATATCCCTTTCCCGGAACAGAAGAAATGTAACAGTGTGCAGTTGAATTCTGATAAATCACAAATGACCCAGGCTGAAAAAGACTGTTCTCATTGGGAATTGTATGTGACCTTTTAGAAGTTTTTTACTTGTTTATTTGATCTGGTTTACCAGAAAAAAAAAAAGTATTTGGATTTGTAAAGTTTTCACTGTTGGGTTACATCTCAGGGTTGGTGCTAGAAACCTATTGTATCTACCTTTTTTCCATGCTTACATCAGTTTTTGCAGTTACACATTACTATGGCTGAGTTTTGCTGTGATTTATATCTGATGCTGTGTTAAAAGCTCAGTTAAAAAAAAAAAAAAGAAAAAAGCTCACTTTAATTACTTTTCCCAACCATAGAGGAAAAGCTTTCTCCTGGGTTTCCGACAGTGGGAAAGAGGAGGCCTGGATGAGCTGTGCATGAGGTGATGTGTAGTAGATGTGACTTGGCCATATAGGTGTGGATTTACTGCTGGCTTCACCTATTGTTTTTGTGCTGCTCTTTCCCTGTCCCAAAAACCTCTGGGTATGAAAGTCTCAGTTCTGCTTCCTATCCTAGCACTGCTGTTCTTCTCTGGGCCTGGCTGTGTACCTAAGAACGAGTGCCAGAAGAAAGGAGAAATCCCAAATACATGTTCAGGGAATTTAGGAACAGGAGGAAAAGCATCAAATCACCTCTTGCAGTAACAATGTGGTTTTAGATCACTTCAGGGTGCAGTTTTGTATTTGACTAAGGTTCTGCCTTTCTGTTTTTCTCATGGGAAGTTTCAGGAGGGTTTTTGTGCCTCAGGCAGGAGTGTGTTCTGGGATCTCTATGCTGCTAACAGCATATGGTGACTTGCACTAGTGGGCATTATTAGTTTGATCTTTCAGGTTACCTGTGCAGTTTTAGCAACTACTCGCAGTTGCACTTTTTACCTCAACATTTGTTTTGTGGCTAGGAAGGGATCCATCTCCCCTCTCCTCTCCGTCTCTCTATTCAGGATTATTCATCATGGTCTGAGTGGCTGCCCCGCACATCACACAGTACTTTGCTTTAGCACTGCAAAAAGCAGCCTCAGCCTGAATCTATCCCTGTCCTTGCTGCTGGAAAAGGGGCTGTGTACACACACACAGATTTTAGAGAAGCAGAGGGAGGAGAGAATGAGGGAGGGGAGAGAAAGGTGCTGGAGGCACACCATGATCAGTCTCCATTGCACAGTGTGAAAAACTAAAGGGGTGCATATTGCATTAAGATCTCCAGTAAATAGTGGCATTGCAGTATGTCACTGATGCAGGCAGCGCCACAGCATACTTTCCATTGCCGCAGGGAGAAGTGGTAAATGCATTAGATTCCATACTTCCTCCCCTGTGGAAAACACAACAGGCTTATGCATGCAGAAAACTCTGAGCCAAGGATTTGTGTTTGTACTTCACAAATTCTCAAGCTGATTAGCAGAACTGGAGGTGAAGGGTGTAATTTCAGCACTCACAGGATTTTGCTGCCTGCTTACAGTGAAGCTGTGACAAAAGAACTGGTTAAGAAAGCCTGTCGGTGGAAAAAGGGAAATGCGTAAAGTTGAAAAACAAAAGCTGTCCTAAGTAGCAGAACCATGTGTTTCATAAACTAACACTGGGTACTTTCTGGGAAAGTTAAGAAGCATTGGGATTAAATAGATGGACCAGATATGCAGCTCTTCATAGAGCAGAGGTCCTGAGGCAGCTTTAGAGGGAGTGTGTGCACAGCTGGCACTTGCAGGGGTGTGACGGGAACTGAAGTTTGCATTGGCTCTGCAGGTGGAAGCTGCAGGGATGCACTTGCAATTAAATCCTCCTGAAAGAGGCCTCATGCTTGCCAGAGGCTTGAGAAACACTGATCAGGAGAAGGATGTTCTTTTTTTGTTTTGCA